GAGAGAGATAGAGAGAGTAAATAATGAGAGAAAGACGAGTTTAGAAGGGTGTGGGTGTGGGTGTGGATGAGTGGGTGGGTGTGGGTATGGGTGTGGATGAAGAGAACACTAATGCCCACACCCCACACCCACATCCACACCTAAACCAGGGTTGCCAAATCCAAATTTTAGAAATCAGGCGTTTTTTTTTTTAAATCAGAAGTTGAACAGTAGATTTTTTCTAGAAAATCAGGAGAAAAATCAGGAGGTTTTTTCCGAAGAATCAGGAGAGAACCAGAAGACTTTTCCAAAAAATTCGGAGAAAAATCAGAAGATTTTTTGAAATCAGGTTAAACAGAAAAGTACTAGACAGTTTTCTCTTGTAGAGGCAATATTGTCACTGTTAATTTACAAAGTCTTGTGACTTTTCTCTATCAAATGAGTAGGGAAATTATTATCTCGCAAGTGAAATAAAGAAAAGAGACGGGTAATCATGAATGTCTCGATATCTCAAATTGAAAATCTTGAAACAAAAAATCTCGAATAAATCTATGTCTGTATACCTGTCTACTTTGTTCATAATACAATCTCGGGCCTGTCGTTTCGATCGCCGGAACAGTCAACAACGGATCGAAAAGACGCTGAAAAACTGCGGAACTAAGCGGTTTCATAATGCTTCGGCGTGTTTCTTACGCCGGATATGTTGTATTCGGCAATATCTGATTATTCAAAATTGCTGGATTGATTACAGATCCTGTGGTATGCTGATAGATTACCTTATGCGATTGAATTACTGTCAAAATGAAGTGACTCCTCTCTTCCCAATCATATTTTGGACGATCGTATGTCTCCAAATTGTACACGGGGAAATATAATCGTATAGAAAGAAATACAGAGTAAAGCGAAAACTGTTGACGAGCTTTGCTTGTCCATAAACGATCGTATTTCTGCGCATACGATCACGAAGTCATACAATTGCAATACTGAGCCATTGTGAAACGCCGTCTCTCTCCGATTACGAGCGTGTCTGTTTGGCATAGGTTAATATTGACAACGGTTTAATGAGACTTGGAAGACATCGCTTACGATGGAATGAGATAGTCACAAATAGGGGAGCGGGGGGCGGTAATCAAAAAGCAGGGATCGTACAACCTACTCAATACGCGTATGTCGTTTTCTACAGAACACAAGAAGATGACCAGTTTTCGCTGGGAAAAATCAAGCGTTTTCGATAGCACGAGGGTCAAACGATTTCTCACAAATCTACTGTATGGGCGCCCTTGCAACCAATGTATTAGGTTAAGCTGGGAAACGAAAAAGTGAAACTGACTTGCGAAAAATGATCAACATCATTGAAGAATTCCTGAAAATTGAAAAGAACAAAAAAACTTCTTTTTCTCACATGCGCAGCCATCCGAAAGAAAGGAACAAAAAGCAAAAACGACATTTAATGAATTCTGATCGTTTCGATTTCTGTGCCCACTTAGTCAGACAGAATTATATTATAGTCAGACACTACGCAAATAGAATACACTATTTTTCTAATGTTTTCCAGTTTTCTAATGCAAACATAAGCTGTTGCCCAATAGGCTCTATGAACAATTGGAAGTTTCGTTTCTTTTTTACTCTTTCAAGTCATATTCAACCTATATTGATGACTTGCGAGTTTTTTCGGATTTATGGTACTATTGTGTCAGTGGCTTTTAGTTTTCTTTGGACGAAAACTATATGCCTCTTTTCTCCTCTTTTTTACAAAGTGTTGGCGGGATGCCAGTGTGTTTTACCTGCTATTTTAGAATGGTCATCGAGGAACGCTCGATATTTATTCTTTCGAGATGTTCCTTTCGACGATTCTGATATTCGAGATTTTTCCTTTCTGGAGTTTTTGAAATTTTTTCGAGATTTTGAGACATTTCTGTAATTATGTGTGTATTATTCTACTGGTATTTTCACATTTGTTCATTTACCGATATAAAGAAAGTAGGGGTGACCGCTCACTTCAGTACATGACATTTCGTCCCGTTCAATTCGTCCCACACGATTCGTCCCACACGATTCGTCCCAATTACATTTCGTCCCATTACATTTCGTCCCCTTACAATTCGTCCCAAGTTCATTTTGTCCCCTTACATTTCGTTCCAATTACAATTCGTCTCATATCTTTGCTAAGATCAACTTTTAGTTATTTTAATTAGATGTCGTGTAAATACTTATTGTCGCGTCTATTAATCATCGCGATAATAAACGACCAATGAACAATGAATATATTCCTTTTTTCTATTCTACATATTTATCGAGATTAATTTTCTATTTGTCATTCAACCACGTGCGCTCGTAGTTATTGGCGTTTTGTACAAATTTGTACAAATAGTATAAACAAAAATATGAATACTATTGAGGTATGAAAGAGTTCTCGAGGAAATTCAATGATATATTTTTCAGAATATTTGTACACTCAACATCGAATAACAGAAGAAAAACGTATATTTCGTTGCGAAGATCCAAATTGTAGAAGTAAGTGTAAATCGTTAAATCTAATCTTTTAACTTTGCTGGATATTATTTTTTGATCGTTGTCAAACGAATATTCAGATGGAAGTATTACTCAAAGAACCATCTTAACATTCTCATGTACCTGATCCAGTTCGGCTGCACCTCATTCGACTTAAAAATGAAATTAAAAGTCGTGGTGCATCATCAGATGAAGGAGCTAGTACGATACTATTTGATGTATTACGGACAATTCCATTAACTATAACTACTGATTTACCTACAAATGACGCATTGTTGCAAACGATTCTATTTGAACGACCAGCAATGCAACTTGGTCATAATGGTCGTTTACCTTTAATATTACGACAAACTGATCGAGGAGAAAGTTTTATTCTATATGAAGATGATTCTATGGTAATATTCACATGTGATAAGGACTTATCAGTTTTAAAGCAGTTAAATTTATTAAAATAAACTTTATCTCATATTGCTATACTGAGAATGAATAGTTACAATATGGGACGAAATGTAAGGGGACAAAATGAACTTGTGACGAATTGTAAGGGGGCAAATTGAAAAGGGACGAAATGTAATTGGGACAAAATGTAATGGGGACGAAATGTAATTGGGACGAATAGTAACGGGATGAAAAGTAGGGGACGAAGTGTAGGGGTACCGAAAGTAGGCACAAATATTTTATAATGATATGACAAGAACCAAAAAGTAAAACAAATCGAACATGCCATACAAAATGTTTACGACCTGTCGGCATAACTGTTGGCAACATGCCTATATTTTTCTGCCGAGAAAACTTCGTGTTGACAATTCTTGGTTATTTAAGAAATAATTATGTAACTCTGTACAATCGGAATGACCGTTCATTCTAATTCTCAATTCTGCATCAACAAAATGATTTGTGGTTCGATTTCTATTGTCATTTTATAAAAATTTCAGATGAATGAAAATTCACTCTCAACACACATTGAAGATAGGTACGGCAAAAAGATAATGGGGCTAATTTTTGTGCATTAGGCACATTTTCACTACCAAGAAGATAAGCTAGGAGATTATCACCTCTACGTTTAAAAGTGCTCTTTCTCTTCTACGCTTTTTTACCGATTCAAAATGTCGCTAAAACCGAAGCCATTAAAAATTTGAAAATCAGTAGAAATCAGGAGAAAATCCTCACAATCAGCTCCTGAATTCAGGAGAATTTTTATCAGGAGAAAAGTTTGAAAATCAGGAGACTCCTGGCCAAATCAGGAGGTTTGGCAACCCTGACCCAAACCCACCCACACTCACACCCACACCCACCCACACCCACACCCACACCCACACGCACACCCCACACCTACATCCACGCCCACACCCGCACCCTCATTCTTCTCTTTGTGTAAATAGGGTAGATGAAACTAATTTTAGATTTAAAAATATTTTTTTCAAAAGTTTTGTATTATTCAATAGTATCATCATCTATTACTAAAACATAAACAAATATCAACGAGTAATCAAATATTTTTCTAGTAATTAGATGAAAATTTTCATTTGATGTATATATTTCTGTTTTTTTGATAAATTTAATTTGAAACATATGGGAAGACATCAAAAAAAAGGAATTATATTTTATAAGTTACAGTTTTCAGGATTTTTTCATAAATTTATGCTTTCATATCCATAGAACAATTAGCTTTTTATTCTATTCATTTAACTGTAAAATTCTCATCTTGAAAATTAAGAATATTTTAATAATATCTATTGATATTATTTCGCTAATAATTGTTTATTTCATATTTTATTCGCCAAATGTTAAGATCGTATCAACACGAAGAGAAACAATTCATTTCAATAAACGTTATATATAGATAATAGTGTAAGAAATAGTTCAAAAAGTCAAACAAACAAAAGACAACTTTCATCGAAATGTATTCGTTGAGGTGTACAAAGAATTTTTGAAGGATAAAAAAAAAAATAATTCGTTTTATTTTTATAAATTATTTCAAATAGTATATTTTGATTGAATAAATAGATGATGATCTTCAACTCATGTACAATGTCGAAGATCATGCTAGTTTTTTATCTGTATCACTTTGTTCAAATAAAATTAATAATAAGAATTAAGGATGTTGTTTATGTTTATGAGCACTATGCTTCTTGTCTATAATCAAGCATATTAAATCATATGTCAATTGTAATAATAATGGTACAACAATATGATGATAATTAATAAAAATATTCACTCAAAAAACTAAATAAATATAAAAATGTATCTAGACGATGTAAAGTTTCATCAAAAATTAATAGATGATGAAAATTATTTAGTTGAAATAAAATTATAGATGTTAAAGAAGCATAGAAATTTTAAGGCCAAACGTTTTTCGGTAGCCGTTTAATAAATAATAATTTGAAAGAAAGTTTTATCTTACAATAAATGGATATTATAATACTACTATCATATAGAATATAATGAAAGTTTGAAGCTTTTTCGCATTGAACCAAGGAAAGATGTTGATCTGTATCATGATAAATCAATTTTTATTTGTTTAGTTAATTTCTTTTTCGTAAAGTTTCGAAATGAAATTTTAAAATCAATCATTCAAATGTTTGATATAAGGATAATAATGAATTGAACTAAAAATTCAATGCAACTTTAGTTTCTCTCGAACAATAAAGGTAACTATTTAAAAGTATTTGCAGGCTTATTCGTAGCTCTATTTCATATTTCTATTCTTAGACGATCATATTCATGTTTTAAATTCCTAAAATAATATCATTTAAAATAGAAATTTTGAAAATTATTAATAAAATTTATATAGTATCTTCAATTGAATTTTGTACAAGACATCTCCGAATTATTTTTATGTTTATTAAGTATAGATTTATAGTTTAACGATGAATACCCTTAGAAGATTTTTCTCAGAAACAAAAAGAAATTGAACATTTCTATATGCTTATGCTTAAAAAAAAAGGTATAATAAATAGATTGATTCGTTGTTATTCAACTAATCGTACAATAATATAGGTAGTAATAATGATTGTGTAAAAAATAAATATGCAAACTGATCGGACTCATTTGAAAAAAAAGGAAACGTAAACGTGGAGATTATTGAAATAAGAAAAGATATTCTTGGATGAAACAATAGTAACAGATGATTGTAAGTGAACGAAAAGTAAATGAAAAATTTGTTATGAAAGATCTTTTTATTTTTCAATTTTTTTTCGAAAACCCTCAATAATAATAATAGTAACAATTGTAAAGTCTATTGTTTAATATAAAACTTTTAGAAGTTCTAATTTTTCGTATAACGACTATTTCTTATAATATTACATTAATATTTTATATCGAAAAGCCTCAAGTAATAGTTGAATAATAGTCAATTGTTATGCTTTTAAATCCATATTATCATTATAAAGTCAAACAAAAAATCTTCAATGATAGTGTCTTTTTCTAGAAAATATCTTTTTTTTTTCTCTTTTACCATTTGTTTTAGCCATATGTCTACTAGATAACAATGAATCATAATGTTTTGATAAACGTTTTACTTAAATAACGTATTTTGAATAAATTGTATCATGTGATAAAATAAAAAGTAATTCTTGAATTCGATAAATAAAATGTAATGATATATGGCAACCTTCTATAATATCTTTAATTATTTCAAATTGATTTATTATATAAGTAAGAAAATGATATTTAGAAATGAGCGAAAGATTAGAAATACAATGAACTTCATGGGCATTTAATAAACCATAATAAACACGAATGAAAAGCAAATCCAGTACAATAGCTTGTAAATGACTTTCCTTTTTATTAATTTTTTTTTGGACTAATTTTTACTTAAATAAAAAGTATAAAATCGAAAAAAGAACAATAGATCGAATTCGTTTTTCTTTTTGTTTATTTTATTCTCGTATGAATATTTATATTTGAGTATTTTGTTTGAACAGACAATGATGAAACAATTAATAGTTGATGAAAGTTTAAGAAAAACTGAATTGAAAGAATTTTTTTTCACAAAATTTTCTATTAAAAGGAAAAATTATTTTCAAACTTTGAATTGAAAACTTTTATAGAGATCGACATTTTTTCAATGCTTCAGACTTTTTTATTATTCCTATAGTAAGATACCATTTTGGTTAAAGTGTCTGTTGTAGATCGTTGGCGTCAACCAGATGATTTAAAATTCGTATTTCAGGATTCAACTAAGCTTTTATCCGTAGACACATTTTTTATCTAATAGAATATCCTAAAAATTTTAGCTCAATAGATGATTAAAAAAAAATTCCTAATTGTATTTTTCTTTACAAAAAATATATATTCTATGTGAGAAACAATAATTTCTTTTCTACATTGAGTCTTTATTTAAGAGAATTAAATTTTTGTTGTAAATCTTTTAAAAAATCTTCCATATAAATAAAGATTAAAACTGATTTCATATAGATAAATATATTTGAAAGTAAATATATAAAACGATCATTTTTCAGATGAATTTAGTAAATTTCTACGGATATGATATGATCAACGTATTTATAAGAATAATTTCATTATTGATCGATTATTTCTGAAGCTAAATAATTTTCATCAATTAACTTTTTATTTTATTTTTCTCTGTATTTGATGTTGTGAAAGAATCTTTACACTTGATGTCATTCAGTTTTGTATTATCAGTTGTCATTCTTTTTTTTTTTTGAAAAGAAAAATGATAATGAAACAGTTCAGATATTCTGAAAATTCTATATTGAAGTGAAGTATATTTTCATAAATAAGAGATAAGATCAAACATACTCTTTAAATCGAACACTATGGAATTGTTTTCTACTGTGAAAACTGAAATATCAACTAAAGAGAAGTGTCGTCTGATGAAAGAAAAAATCATGATTTATATATTTGTTGATCTAAATCGAGAAGAGTTAGAAAAAGTTTAATTTTCGGACAAATTGAATTATTTGTGCTATTTTTCAAAGATTCTTTTTATTGGTTGAGTTGATACACACAAATAACTGGAATATATATTTTTGACGTTTGTCAATATGATGGACTTTTATCTTCAACTTTAATTGTTTCAAAAAAAAGGTAAAGTTTTTTTTTTATATGTTGATTGAATATTATTATTTTGATAAATGTTTATATTAGAAAAAATTCCGAAAAAGATAATGAATATGTCTTTTTCTGTTTACTTAAAATAATTCTATGAATAATATCGATGGATAATTGTAAACTTACAAAAGAAACTTCATCATATTAATTATGGAAAAAATATAAAGATTGAATTGTTATCTATCTGAAAAGATGAAATGATTAAATATTAAAGTTGATAAATATGATATTCTTTCACATTATAGTTCATCATTTGATATTATTACAGGAGTATTTCGTTGTACTTATGAAATGATGAATTTTATATATTTATTCATACGAAGAATTAATCTTTTGAAGTAAATAATGTATTGACCCTTGGCATGGTAAATATGAACGG